AATGTCACCACTGAAGTATGGCCACAATTTCACGTATGGGTGGGAAACATCTAACTCTAAAGGCATAAGCATTTAATCTTACCTTTCATTTAGAAGATCTTGGAAATCAACATTTTCCTTATTTATTGAAGAATCACAAGAGGTCTCATTAACAATTGTGAAGCCTAGACTTCTCTAGTTTAACTTCTGATACAGTGGGGCTAAGAAGAGGACCAAAATTGTACCAACCATCTATTCTTTCCCCTGCCTATGTTTTATTTTCTCTGGACGCATGAGGTATTTACAAGGCAGTTATCTGATCCCTAATGTTTTTTTCCTCGTACCAATAAGCTAACATTTTAGCTAGGTGACATTTGTCTAAATCAAATAGGCTAGTCTTATCACACCTCCGTTCTCTCAATGAATTCCCAGGATTTCTAGATATTGATATAGAACTTAACTACACGGAGGTATTCTAATAAACTCATTACCACTATCATAGATTTTTTCTGTCCAAGTCACAGTAAGGTTTTTAAATTAGTTCATAATCACTTTATTACAAAACAATATTATTTACTAAAATTTGATATTACAGTCTTGAAATAGTTTAATATGGTTGATAAAAGCCCCAGAAAGTTTTAGAGGCGCTTACTTTTATAACCTGGCACCAATTAGCTATAAACAGCTTGAAGATATCATCACTAGTTTAAACTTACAGAATCGTTCTGTTGGTTATGTGAGGCTGCATCCAGTTAAAGTGTTCAGAACAGCAAAAAAACAACCAACAAATGAAAAGACAACCTACAAAATGGAAGCAATTTTTGTAAACCATAAATCTCATCTGAAATATATACAGAACTCATATGCCTAAACAACAATAAAAATTCAGTTAAAAATTGGAAGGTGTGGTTCAGTGGTTGAGCATCAACCCATGCACCAGGAGGTCTCGGTTCGATTCCCAGTCTGGTTACATGCCTGGGTTGTGGCCTTGATCCCCAGTAGGGGCATGTAGGAGACAGCAGATCAATAACTCTCATCACTGATGTTACCAGCTCTCACTCTCTTGCTCTCCTTCTCCCTTCTTCTCTCTGAAATACATTTTAAACAATGGGAAAGGTATCTGTACAATTTCTGAAGAGCACATGCAAATGGCCAACACGTACATGGAAATGGACTTGAAAATCTTCTGGGAAATGCCAATCAAAGCCACAATGAGATATCACCACACACCTCTCAGAATGGTTATCATCAAGATGACAAACTAGTGTTGACAAGGATGTGAAGAAAAGGAAATCCTTGTACACCATGGGTGGGAATGTAAGTTGGTATAAATAAGATGGACAACAGAATGGAGGTTCTTCAAAAACTTCAAAATAGAACTGCCATCTAACACAGAAAAATCCCACTTCTTGGTAAATAAAATGGAAATGAAATAACTTATGTCCAACTTATAAATGGATAAAGAGGATGTTATATACACAATAGTATGTTATTCAACCATGATAAAGTAGAAAATCCTTCCATTTGTGAAAACACAAATGGTCTTTGAGAGCATTATGTCAAGTGAGCCATGTCAGAGAGAGAACACATACTGTATAATAATATCACACACATGGAATCTTAAAAAGGTTACTACATAGAAACATAGAGTAGAATGGTGGTTATGAGAGCCTGAGGACTTGGGAAAATAAGGATATGTTGATCAAAGTGTACAAAGTTGAAGTTAAAATTTGTGTAGGTTCTGCAGACATGCAGAGCATTGTGATTATAGTCAACTATACATGAAAGTTGATAAGAGTAAGAGACTAGATCTTAACTGTTCTCACCACAAAAAATGAAATGATTATGTGACATGGTAGGGGTTTATCTAGTTATGGTGTTAACCGTATATAGTATACAAATGTATCCAACTAGCATGTTGTAGACCTTAAACCACACAATGTTTATGTCAATTGTATTTCACTAGAAATAACCCCCTTCAAAGCCAAAGTTGTTAAGGAAATGTTAATTAACCACAATGAGATACTACACTATACCTGACAGGGTGGCTGACATTATAAAGACTGATCACACCAAGTGTTGGTGAGGGTGTGGAGCAACTGGAACTCTCAGGCACCAATGATAGCAATGTAAAGCAGGACAATACTTTGGCAAAGAATTCGGCAGACTTTAAAAATAAGAAACTTTAACCTTATGAACTACTCTGGGTTCCAGTCCGTTCACTGCTAGGCATTCATCCAAGTGAAATGTATGCATATGCCTAAGAAAGCCATGTATATGAATATTTGTGGCAACTTTATTTTGTATATTTTCAAATGGAATTGCAAACTCCCCTCCCCATTCATTATGCCCATCAGATAAAATTGTCCTCTAAACTTCCTGCTGTAGGATTGGCTTTGATGACCTCTGTGTGTGGCAACTTCCCTGTCATTGCCAGGACATATGATCCCTCTGTGTCCTTTTTCTCCTGACATTTCTTTTCCTATAGCAGTATTTAAAATACACTGCTGCACATAGTGGAGTTAGCTGAGGTTGCACAGGTAAACAAGACAGCCTCCCCTTGTACTGTGTCTTCTTGAGGTGGGTAACTTGGGAAACACATTATTGTGGATTTTGTTTTGTTTTATTTTGTTTTTTGGATAGAATTGCTGTCAGGACTACTTCAACTCTGGTCTTTCTAGGAATAATTGTTCCTGGTTCTTTCAAGGATAAATTGAGCATTCAAAATGCATGTATTCTTAAATGATACAGGAGATAGTTTCATTGAGCTTTTTCCCATATGTACTACTTAATATGCTTACTTTTAATTGATTTGGGTGCAGAAGGAAAAAGGGGAACAGTCCTCCCTATGAAAAGTAAAGGGGATTAGCCCTGCCCAGTATGACTCAGTGGTGGGAGTGTCAGCCACCCCTTCTCCCAAGAAGGTTCCCCAGTTTGATTTCTGGTCAAGGGCAAGTACCTAGTTTACAGGTTCAACTCTGTCACTGGTCTGGGTACCTGCTGGAGGCATCAAAGAAATGTTTCTTTTGCATAGGTGTCTCTCTCTCTCTCTCTCTCTCTCTCTCTCTCTCCCTCTCTCTCTCCCCTCTCTCTCGCTTACTCTGTCTCATTCTCCCTCCCTCCCTCCCTTACTGGATCCCTCCCTCATTCCATCCCTCTCACCTTCTCTCATTCCCTCCCTCCCTCCACCTCTCTTCCTCCCTTTCAATTTCTCTGAAAATCAATGAAAAATTTATCCTTGGGTAAGGATTTTTGTTTAAAAAATATGGTATTTAATAGTATTCACCCTTCCCCAGGATTCTCCTATCTTATCACCTAGGAGTTTTAAAGTTTGCATTTTATATTAAGTCTGTGGTTCATCTGGACTAATTTCTGGAATGGGTATAACGTCTGTATTTACGCTTATTTTATTGGATGTGGATATCCTGTTGTCTAGGCACTATTTTAAGGAACTATCTTTGTCTCATTGTAATACATTTGATCATTTGTCAAAAATCAGTTGTAAATATTTAAGGGAGTCTGTTTCTGGGACCTCTATTCTGTTGAATTAATTGACTTGTCTCTTCTATTGCCTAGGCCCAGTCTTGATTATTGAGTTACTTATAGTGAGTCTTGAAGTTGAGAAGCATCAATCCTCCAACTCTTTTCTTCTCCTTCAATACTCTATTGGCTATTCTGGATCTTTTGCCTTCCATATAAACTTTAAAATTGGTTTAATAGCAGCCACACAATAACTTGCTGGGATTTTGATTTGGACTGTATGGAATCTATAGGTCAACTTGGAGTAAATGACATCTTGACAGTAAGGAATCTCCCTATTCATGAAAACGAAATATCCCTTCATTTATGAGTCCTCAGGCTAGTTAACATAAAATCCATACCTCATGCTTCAACACATTTGGTTTGAATTAATTTTGTCAGCCTGACTACACAGAGTCTATGTTAAGTCAGCTGGGCTATGCTGACTTGATCTCATTTTCTTCACTTATTCCTCAGATCAAATGATTCAATATAAAAATTACTTAGCGCATTGTACCCTGTAGTCTCAATTTCACTCCTGAGTTTTCTTTCTCTCATGATATTATTCCCATGTTGTACTCAGCCTAATTTTAAAGCTAGCTGCCTAATATTCATCTGGGAGCTTTTTAAATATTCCTGGTGGTGAAAGTGTACTATAGCTTTATGAGATGTCCCCTTGGGGGAAATTGGTTAAAAGGAACATGACAACTCTCTGTACTATTACTTACATCTTTATGATATTCTCCATTTTTCTAAAAATAAAAAGTTTAAGAAACCAATTCTGCAATAGATTCTAATGATCTCCTAGTTTTCCAAAATATTAATGGCCTATAAATGGGTGTAATTATAGTTTCCAAAATTTATTCTTCTCTTTCTTGCTTTGATTCTCCTTCCTTTCCCACTCAATAACTTGAAAAGCTTTCACATATAGCCTCCATTTTAGGGTTTTAAAGCACTTTTTATTACTTTATCCCCACTCCATACTTCTGAGAATATCAGAAAATTATCCCAAACCTCCTGCTCAAAATAGGCACAGTCTCCAGAGCTGTGGCCTCAGGCTCCACTGCCTCCTGTTTCAGGGAGGTTGGGTGGGGAGTCTATGGGCTGGCCATGGTGTGCAGCATTGCTGTGAGGCCTGCTCCAGGTCAGTCCTTCCTGACATGTTTCTATATTCTGAAGAAAAAGGAGATTCCAGTGCCCATATTTCCTTAATTGGTGTCAGGCCTCTGTGGGCTGAGCCAAGGTTTGGGAATGAACAGCTCCCTCTTAAGTGAGCTGAGAATGTGTCCTGCTGTTTCTCTCAGGTCTTTATGAGGCCTCCTGTTCCCATGTATGACTCCTTGAACTTGTGAGTTTGTGCAAAGAAAAAAGGGAAAAGTCCAAAATAATAAGGGATCTAGGGGAGTAGCAGGTTCTTTGCCTGTAATAAACTTTCACTTATAAATAGGAAATTTGTCTCTGTGTCATGTGTTGTAAACATTCCTTTTGGGTTTTTTCTTCAGACTTGATAAAATGTCTTTCTTCTCATCAAGTATCAAAATTATTTTCATCACTGCCTTGGCATTTTCTCTTTACTCTGGTGAGTACATTTCAATTCTGGATGAAATTATTCATATATATTAGAAAGTGCAAGAGATGACTTCTGTTATCTTGAAACGGAGCATCTTTTTATAGAGTATGTAATATTTTAACTGGCAAAATGAAAGGGTGCAAGTTACAGAGCCCTTTTAACAAATTACATCTGTGGATTGCGTTTTCTCTTTTCCCACCTTAGAGGAATGGAGGCAGAGAGGAGGGTTATAATGAGAACTTAGCTTTGTGTTCACTTATGACTAAAATTACTTACCTAATTATTATTATTATTTTTTGGAGGTCAGATTCTATGTTTGCTAAATGCAGAGTGTAGGCAGTAATGACGTTTCCTAGATCTGACATTCCTTGGCAATGTGATTTGTTGTGTGCCAGTTCTGAGGCCATTAAAGTAAAAACTTTCTGTGAGGGGAGAACTCAATCATCCCTCACCTGGAAATTTATCTTTCTTTATTGAAAAAAGAC